TAACAATTTTAATTTTATACAAAAATTTGTTATGTATTTTAAGTGTAGATTTAAAGAGAAACATTTTAAAACATTATATTATTATTAATTATTTTTTTGAAAAAATTTGATACTACCATTATTTTTGATATAAAAAGAAAAAATTTATAACAGAAACCTTATTATTAGTAGGAATAATAATAATAATAATAATAAATTTTAGGTCTTAATTTGAGTATATTTTTATTAACACATTTATTAAAAAGCTAAATATAAATATTTTTAAAAAATGCATGATTTTAAACAATTATATGATTGTAAAATGTTTTTTTAGAAAGAATTTTATTTATTATAAGCAATTTGATACAACTATACGGTATATAACTTAGATTAACAAAATGTTATATACATATATCATATAAAAATGTCTATTTATTCAATATATTATAGTATTATTTTCAAGGATTTTTAAATTAAACACATTTTTTATAATTCAATGAAAAGAGACCATTGCTTGTGAAGGTTACTAATACTGTATCTGTCAATTGACTCACATTTTTGTTTGGAAAACAATTTTTATTATCATTTTATACTATTATTAATATAATATGTTTTATTAATTATATTTATCATTATTGCATGTTTCATAACAGCGATAATACAATTAGATTAAAAATAGCTAAACATGTTTTTAATATTATATTTGGTTGTTTGTGTACTAAATAAAAAAATTAATAATTAAAAAAAGCCACATTATTAACTTCACTAAATAATAATTTTATAAATTTAATATATTAATGCAATCAATGAGAAATCAATATAATTGTTTAAACGTTTTTAATATGGCTTTTATAATGAAACCCAATCCTAACTGTTTGTGCAATCAAAAGCAATAATCAATTGTGGGATTATATAACCAAATAAATTGATTGAATATGATATCTAATTAGGGTAATAATTAAATTTGATTTTTTATAGCTAATTGCAAACCTACGGTAAACTATTTATTTATTATTAATATATAGACCCATAGCCTGGGGCATAGAAACAAACATTTAACTTAATAGTAACGGTAATAATATAAATATAAATAATGTTAATACTAATAATAATACAGTATTATATATATATGAGAAGATTGTTATTTGTATCGGACGTTAAAATACATTTAATGAAAGCCTTTAGTCTCCTTTTTTTCCTATTAATGATTGATTTTATTATTTTAATTTTATTTTTAGCCATTTTATTACAAAAGAAAATAATACTACTCTACCTTTTGATAGTCCAAACTGTTTTTAATATATATAATTTAATTTAAAGTAATACACTAAATAATAATTGGTTGCATGTATGCAATGCCAGTTGATGTTTTTAAAAAAACTAATTATTTAGTTGCAGACAACACAACAATAATAACAAACTACTATTACTAGTCATTTTGCATCACTACTGGCCAGTAATTCAAAAGTAATTTATTTTTTTATGACCGTAAATATCGGGAACAAATCAATTGAGTTTATACTCTAACAAATATTTTTATTATTATATTTAGTTTGTTATACTTTAACTGCAAATGCAATAATAAAAGAGTTGAACAGAGAAAGAGAGAAAAACTTATATATATTTTTAAGTCAAAAAAATTCGGTTAATATATAGATTGATATATTAATGGATTTATTATCATTATTATTATCGTTTATTTTTTGTTATTAACTTATTATTAGAAACTTTTATTACTTATTTTAAAGCGAAAATTTTTATTTCTTATTAAATTTTTAAAAAAGAGAGAAAAATATTATTTTCCTGACATCAAAATTATGATAAATTTACTGCAAAATTATGTTTATTTTTTCTTATTTTTCTTGTGTGTAAATATTTTTTGAAACAATAAGTACATGAAATATGCCTTAAATTAGTGGATATAATGGTTATAATGAGACAAACACTTTTATATGTTATTAACTTTAATTTTTTGGTTCCCATATATTACATACAGTGTATACTTATTGTGTACTTTATTTCCTAATAAATAAAACATGTGGACTGACTATAATAATAATAATAATAATAAGATTAGTTAATAACTTTAACTTTATATTTCAAGTGACAGCCCATTGAAATATCTCAACAGAAAAGTTTCTTTTGTTGAACTCATGAAATCTCAAAATAATAATAAAAAATAATTTTCAAAGTCATTGTAGAGATTTTTTTCAAAAGGAAAATGAAAAATACCACTCATTTGAAAGATATTGAGATCTTTATTAAGACAAACTATTAGCACTAACAACGAGTTTTTATGGCCAATGAATGGAAACGTTGTGTTAGAAAATTTGTTGAACTTTTTGTTTAATGATATCTACACTACTATATAATGAAATTATTATTATAGTGTATATTATTTTTATTATATATATATTTTTTAAGGAATTATGTTTTTTGTTGTGCTTTTGTGGGACATTTGTGTGGACTCGTCCCGTAGGATATACACAATACAAACCATAATATAAGGTGAAAAATATAAGTATATCTATCTATAAGTGTGTGAATGTGAACAACAATACAAACTTCTCTCTCAGTCTTGTTATTGCAAAACAGTTTGATATTTACTTCACAATCATCTTCCGCTTTGTTTGTATTACATAATAACGATTGGATTTTAAAAACAGACAAACAATTCATTATAAAAATTACTGTTTAGAAAAACAATTGAAATGAAAATTTTATGATTATTTAATATAAGAAAATTTTGTATATATTTTACAATTAATGCCTTAAATGTAAGTCCGATAGAAAATTAGGATATTTTCCTAATTTAACAAAACATTTATTACAAATAAGTCCTTAATTTTTTTTATTTGTTGTTTGCCATCAATAATAATAAGTTACTCCACAGACACACACAAACACCACTGTGTTTGTGATTTACACAATTTATTTTATTTTATTTAATCTATTCATATGAACTCAATTTATAACCGACAAAAGCTCTCTCCCTCACAAACAGAGAGAGAGAGAGAGAGAGAGAGAGAGAGAGAGAGAGAGAGAGAGAGAGCCATTTCTCTGCTATTTTTATACCCAATTAATTACGAAAAACATATTTTCATCAAAATATCATTAATATTGGACATAACTTGACTTAAATTGAAAGCATCCCGTAATTGAAAACTTAGTTATAATTAAATATATTGTTAACGTATACTATATTTGTTCCAAAACTTTTGTTATTGTATTAAATTTATTATAAATTATTATAAAATACATTAGAAATTCTGTTTCAACAAAATTTTCTCTCATTATATTTAAAATATAATTTTTTATAGGATATCTATTTTTTATTTTTATTATTATTATTACTGTACATTATAATAAAAAAATATTTTTATTGCCTAATGTATTGATGCGAATATTTTATATGATATAAAAATAACATTACGTTACTTCATAAATATAAAAATAGTTTTTATTACAAAAATAAATTTTTAGGAAATTGTTTAATAGAATAAATACTAAGTTTTTTTTGTCTGTGTTTTATTGTATTAAAAATTTGTTAAATTTATTATTTTGAATCCACACAAAAGTCAAATTTTTAATTATAATTTTTTTTAAAGCCATAACAAACCACATACAGTATATCACAAAACTAATCAAAATGTTTTATAACATTAATACGTTATTATTATTCATTGGAAAGTTATTTAATTCAATATTGAAATACAAACAAAACAAAAAGCATTTTATTTGTAATAATGAATAAAACATTATTTACAAAACAAAAATCTATTTTATTAATTAAATATACAAGAAAACAGTTTTTTATTAAAATAATAAAAAAAAAGTTTTTATTTTGTTTTGTTTTATTGTAATAATTATTCGCAAACTTTTTTCTAATTATTTAAACAACAGTTTTATTCACAAATAAATATTTGCTTTCTTTGAGTATAAGTATAGGATATATACTGTAATATATAATATACACTATAAAAATGTTTGTTAAAAAAAGTAATTTTCAATTTAAGCTTTAAGTGTGAAAAAAGTTTTTAGACAAAACTTTTTTTTGTGACTTATATTGTTTTGTATTGTGTTTTTTGACTGTAAATTATAGACTATTTGAGAGTTTAAATAACTGTTGTTTGAAACTATTATTTGACAACAACTGTATATTTAATGGCATTTAATGGGATTATAGAGACTGTAATAATAATAATAATAATACATTGAATATCGTATTATTGGGACGATTGCACTAAATTACTAAAAATCAATAGTTATGTAATACTATACTACAGGTGGGGTTTAGTTAAAAATATGGGGGCTTTCCTATGATTTTCAATGAAAAAGGGTTCARTAAATTGAATGGTTTAGTGTAACGACATTTGTTTACATTATAGTACTCCTAAAAACAATAAACATTGTTTGGAGTCATTCATACTATAGATAACATTATTTGTTTGTATTTTAGAATCCCTGTTGACTATGGAAATGAATGGATGGATTGTTAACTGATGTTATGTATTACACAACCACTTGTATTAGTTGGTCACGTATTATATGAATAGATTTTGTTGTCTGATATCCTGAGTCTGAAAAGTCGGTCAATTGGAACGTCAAATGATTACTACGTATTGAATGAATGCACTGTAATATTGTATTACTGTATGACTACTACTATGACTACTATTACTACTATTACTGTATTATTTAGTAGTCATAGTATTATTACTTACTGTGTGTTTGGATTGCATTGAGATTAGTGTTGACTAAACACAAGACAAAACAACATTAAATGAGTGCATATTTGGCGACATTTTCACTGAATTTTTTGATTACAAATCGAATGAAATTATAAATAAATGAATGAATCAATTGTTTGATTGGTTTTCAATGCAAAGTGTTATCTAATATATGAATGAATTGTTTGTTTGTTTGATATAATGTTATTCAGTGATAGACTTTACCGATGATTACAGCCATAAATGAATCGGTTGTGTACTACGGGTTGACCACCACATGAACGACGGGAAATGTCGTGTCATAAGTGTGTACTCCAAGAGTTCGACCGAGACTTGGATTTACTCGGATTAAGTGATTGGTCGCCGAAGAGTACATTACAACTCTCACAACAACAACAACAGTGCGACCACTCGCTGGTCAGCCATCGCGACCACAAACACCACACGAGTAGTAATCAATGCTCACACTCGCCGCAGACCAATACATACGCGCCGTCGCTGACCAACAGTCGAACATCACTGCAAACAGTGACCAATCAATCGCAGACCAGTCAGTCATCGAAGCCATCAATACATGTATCCTCTTCTCGAAGTGTGTCGCGAAACACAAGACGTGACAATAGTTTATCAACAAATGACACAAAGATTGAAACAAATAGTAGTTCAATGTTAAGGAATTTAACTCAACGGTCGCCCACAACTCGGTCTCAGACCGTCCGAAGTGTGCGAACCAATAGTGGCCTTCAATCGCGGACATCAACAACAACCACAACAACACCGACACATTCTCCGACATCGCGACTGCAGACACGTCTTCCGGCACAAAGTCTTACACCTAATGGCAACTCTCACAGCAAACAAAGTTTGTCACCAAATAGTCGTAACAGTGATAACAGTGTCAGACAAAGGATAACAGTTAAGACTACAAACTCAGATAATCAGACTCAACATAAATCATTGTCGATGACGTCGCCGCCAACCACTACAAGTGCGACCACAACAGCGATACTACCGGAGGCTAGTATTAGTCCCGAGATTTTGTTTTTAGTCAAAGAACAGGCAAAGTCTATCGCGACGATCAATGCTCTCCAGAAACGTGTGGAACAATTGGAAAGGATTGTTAAACTCCAGAACTTGAATCTCAATCTTTTAACAAATAATAACTTTAATCATAACTGTAATCATAATAAGATATCGCCGGAAGTGTCGGCATCGTCGTCGTCATCGCCGACGTCTAAGCAACAGTTGGGAGTTGTAAACAAACAAACGCTTAACACATGTAAAGAAGGAACGCATGTCTCTGACGACTCGGGCGGGGAATACAGTCGCGCGACGACCACTTCCGATGAGGACGAGTTGTCGCTACTGTTGGACCAAATCGTGAGACGAGCAAAACAATTGAATATCACTAACATTGGTAGTCAACAACAAACCGTCAATTGGTTTGCCAATCCATGCATCGGCTGTGATATAAGTACTCATACAAACACTTAATTACGATTAAATCACATAACAATACTATTCAACGTAATGTATATAATGACAAAAATATATATTGATATATCTCCAGAAAATTTTAGTGTAAAGTATATAATTATTTAATATTTACTACAAAAAAAAGAGAAATATTATTATTACTATTAATAACATTGTTTTTGTTCTCCCATTTTAAATATGGATATATGAAAAAACTTTATTATTTGAGATTTAATTAAATAATAAATATTTTATAAGTCATTCATTTTGTGTCATTTGCGAGTTTCCGTTCAATTTTTGTTTATTTATTTTTATGAGATATTTATGGGTTTATGTTTATTAACGGGAGGGCAATGACGGCTAAACCAGATATTTGATTTGTTTGTCTACTTTAAGTGTTTCAACAAAAACCATATCATAGATGTTAAGACAGCAATTAATGGTGTGTTTGTGTTATCTAATAATCAAATCATTAAATAGTCTAATGTTATGAAATGTCTTAACTCAACATTGAATGGTTTATATAGATATACAAAATGTATATAAAAAATAATGTGAAATAATGTGTAGAAAATGTTATATCGATTTATATGTTCACATCATTTATAAATCATTTGCTATACTAAAACTTTTGACTATTTATTTATTATTACTTTGTATTACAGTATTAGTTATAGTTTTGTCGCATTGATCGATGTGTTGGCGTTTATAGTTGTGTTAATCCGCTTAATATCACACATAATGTCACATATGGCGTGTATTTAACATATTATGGTTTATAGATTAGAGGCTAGACTTATATTTTGTGTCAAATGCTATTAAAATCAAATACATTTAAAACACATTGCTTTCATAAATGAATAATTAATTTTTACAAACTATTTATTTATATTTCATGTATTAGTTATATAAAAACAATTTTTTCTAACTAAACTAAATCATTTTTGCAATATTATATATTTATACAGTTAAATATACGGTAAATAATATATATGCAGTATTTTTATTGTATTAGTATTTTTGTATTGTTTAAAAATGTAAATTAGGTTAAATATCTATTTTTATTGATATAAACCCCAATACTAGAAGACCATTGATATATTTGATTAATATTTTCAATGAAAACATGAGATATATTTATCCGAAAAAATTAACAGAAAATTACAGTTTAGTCATATTTAATGGTAAAGTATAGATAGTATAGTAAAAGTGAAATAGTTTTTTTTAACAAACAAGTCATTGTATTCAATGGTTTACACGTTTTATTACTTATTGTTAAAATTTTTGGGTATTTAAATGTCATATAAGTTTTTTTAGGTAATAAAATAAATAATAGACTTATTGTAATCATATAAGTAAGTGACAGATTTGTTGTAATGGCAATAATAATAATAATAATATAACGAAAAATAAGTTAAAAGAAAAAAGTTATTGAACTCTAAAAAATGAGTCTAAAAATAATTACACAATTATTATCGCTTCAATGATATTATTAATACAGTAAAAAATGATAGACAACTGTAAATACCGTATATAACTATATTTTTTTAACAGTACTATCGGTTATAAGTTTATTATTATTATCATATTAATAGCAATAGTTTAACACCAAATTATTACACATTTTTCAAGTTTGGCTTCAATTGATTGTATAGTACATCAAACGTCATTTATGTACAAATAGTTATATAAATTATTGTCGAGACAATAGTGGCGCCAATTTTACAGTCATAGCGTTAACTAATAGAATAACGTATAGTATTAATACAATACACTATTGAATACAGTATTATATATTATATTGAATATTGAATAACATGTTTGTATTATTTGATGAACACTAGAGTGCAGTCAATAGTGTTTTTAATGATTTGTATGTCAAACACGTGACACACATATTGTATACTTAAATATGTAAACAAATGTTTTTTTTATCGTAAAAACGTTTTGTTACAATCATTGGTGGAACCGATGCGGTAATAGTTATGGACTTCAAGAGTGACCAATTAATGTGTGATTTGTAAGTATATTACCGATGATGTCAACAAAAAATGAGATATAATTATATTTGTCATTCATATGTTTGACAGTTGTTTGTCACAAAAATCGCGATATTGTTGTTCCCGATGTCACCGACGTTACTGTTCATCGATTTGCTTCCGCAGTGAACAACACATTGAATGCTCGGAACAGTTCTTTAAAGAATGTGTTACTCAAGAGCTTATTAGTCAACGATTTAAGTAATTTATATATATTTTTAAATTTTAATCTTTTGTTGTTTTTTTCATTTATAATATGATTTGTTTTCAATTGAAGTGATTCATCAAAACAGAAGTTTCTTGAAATTCTTAAACGCAACGGTCAACAGATTTTTGATAAAGAAATTATCACTAATAATGATAATAATAATATCGATAACGAAGATGTTTTGATTGATGAACGGTTTAAAGATCTTGATTTAAATGATTCGCATCAACTCTGGAACTGTTTGAATGATAGTGAAAGACAAGAGTTTGAGCAGCTATTGAAAAGTGGAGAAATCGGTACTTTAATTGATGTTTGGCAGCCGTGGTGGCTGACAGATGACACTAACATATCTATCAAACCTTTAGTTACACCGATTGATGAAACCTCTGTTAAAGATATTTCAAACAATATTTCAAAATTACCTCAAATATTGTCAAACATAACAAATTTGAAAGAATTAATATCAGTAAATATTTTTAATTATTTTTTTTAATTGATTTTTATGTAATAATGATTTGTGTTTATAATTATCCAGAAACCTGTTTCGCCCGCTGTCTGTCCAGCGGTGATCAACACACTTATAAGCTATTGTTATACATGTCGTCTATTTAATGGTGACTACGATACTATTGATTCAATTGAAGTGTTTATACGAAATTGTCCCCAATTGTCACAAGAAATAAATTGCGATGATCTCAATAAATCGCTAGAAATGACAGTACAGCAGATAATGACCGAACAACCCTCAAATATGGCCCTACAAGTGCTCAATGATTGCAAACATATGATTGATGGACCAAAATTTAGATTGAAATCTTGTGAAACATCAGAATATGTTATGAGAGCATTAAGTGATATGATTTATACCGTAAAAAATGTTAAGAAAAAGTGTTCAAAACAAAAACGTAAAGATTTAAAATTGGATGCATTGGTGAAGAAACTCGAATTCTACCTGAGCTGGACTCTCGACAATGCAGTTATGCTAACTGAGTCTGTCTTTCAAATTAAATTTACGATTGGTTTGTTAATTGCATACTTTGATTAATATCACTTTAATAATTTCACAATAATAACTTTATGATTTATAATGATTTGTAATTAAACAGATAGTTTGCGTTTAATGAATAATCCTAATGAAGCGCAAGATATTGGCCAAGAGTTGAGGAGAAAACTATGTCCAAAGACATTGATTGARGAGATCAATTAATAACGACTTACCGGTAATTATCAAATTTTATTGTTTGTATATATTTATGAATTTAAATTGATTGACAATTTAAGTCATTTTAGCCTATAATACAATTGTAAATCTACAAATACACTTTTGTAAATAAAACATTTTTAATTTAATTGTGTTTGGGAATTGATTTATATAAATTGCATTTTACCATTCATAGAATTTTTTTAATAATTGCACTTTACTTATTTCTACAGTAAATTTAAATTTTACCGGTACTGTAACTAAATAATAATTTTATTATTTAAAAGTGTATTTGTTATGGTAATAAATTTAATAGTAGATGTCATCAATATTAATGAATTATTGATAATTATTTATATTTTATTTTTACCGTAAGTAAGTAATAATATTTTTACAAATTGCGGACTTATTTACATAAATTAAAACAATATAATTAATAGTTATCGGAAATAATTAGGCATTTTTTCTCTTAATCTGCCGTTTTTGGACTTTTTGTTGTCGGCTTTTTCGATGTCTGTCCCGATTAACTCTTATTGAAGTTCTTTTACTTTTTCTGAAATATGGAGCTCTTAATAGTCTTCGTCTGTCAATTGACTTTCGACTCGATCTCTGGTATCGGCCAAATGTTCCGAACTGTCCGTACTGACCATACTGTCCACCATTGCGTCCAAAACGATTACTTCCAAACCTATTGAGACCTCCTCCGGTACCATATGTGCCATAACCTGCCACAGCTCCACCTCCATAAGGATTTGGGTATGGGATGCCTAATATTGTGACAGATATATTATGAGACAATTGTAAGAAATTCATTTAAAATTATGATTTTAGAGACCATAAGGAATGTAACCATTATATCCATTAATTGGAGGAAATCTATTTGTAAGGCGATTACAACCACAAGTGTTACCCAAACTAACGACTGAAAGAGAAGACGGAAATAAAAACCGTTTCGTCCGCTTCTTTACCATTGAATTCATTCGGTGATGAAATAGTTGATCACTTGAGTGGCGACAATCGGATCTTTTAGGTGATGATGTGATTGGGACCATAATCACAGCGAATAATATAATTAGAAAATATTCATTTAAAATAGCATTAGATTTCATTACTGAAAATACATAACTTGTTTCAAATTTAATTGAATTATCATTAATATTAATAAAATATAAGTGAAGTGAATAGCATTAAAATATTATTTATTATAATAAACAATTGTTTTTCCTATTTTCTATTATTGACTTAATTTAACATTTTATCGCTTAATGAATTAATTTTATTAGTTTTTATTAAACAATAAATTATTATTTACTACTATTTTACATAAAATTTTTTTGAGTTCAATCTCTCACTACATTCACTATCGTCACTCTATTTGTGTCCCAAAAAACTGTTTTTTTTGTTTTGTTATTAAATGTTAATTAATATATAAATAATTTATGAAGTATTTAAACAGCTTTTTTTGGGTAAAAACTCCACCGAAAATAATTGGTTCAAAAGCTATAATAATTTATTATATATGATATTTTTGTTTAGTTTTTTTGTTTGTATATATTATACATAAATGATTTAAAGCTTAGGATTTAATTTTTGATGATCATTTTAATTTATAAAATGTATAATAAAAATGTAAAAATATGTTTGTTTTTATTGTTTGACATACAAAACAAATAAAATGCATTTAAGATATAACTTTATTGAGATATTTTTAGCACAAATCAGATTTTAGTTAAGATGCCCAATGTAAAATCAATATACTGTACGTATATTTATTATATTTTTAATTAAATTTTTTAAAAATTAAGTTTTATAATTTAAAATAAATTTAGTTTTTCTACATTATAAATCATTTTATAATATATTTAAAAATTAGATAGTATAGATAGATTCGCAAAATTGAAGTTTAATTATATATTATTATAAAATACATTGAAAATGTTATATTTTTGAAAATAGTAATAAAATATTATTTTTCTACTCAAAAAAATATTTTATTATTAGTCTAAATATTTGACAAAAATTAAATCTTTATTGTAATATTACTATTAAATATATAATATTATTAATACAATAATGAGTCTAATTTTAATGTATAGTATAGTTATAAAAGTTAACAAATAATTATGAAACAAATATAATTATCAACAAAATTTGAATAAATAAAAAAAAGTCTGTATTTTATATTTGCTATTTTTAAAATACACACTTTATTTACATACAGTATAATACAGTATATAAATTACAATACAGTAGTACAGTATAAATAAAATTTTGTAAATTAAGTTTTACCCGCAAACACAAATCATTAATTTTATTTTCAAAATACTTAGCAGACATTTAGATAAATCCTAATTAATATCACATTATACGGTAATTATAATACTAAAAAAAACATAAGATTACATTATAAAATACATAATAACATTAATAATCATTAATAACATCAATGAAAATATTATCATTAATTGTTAGATAGATTTGTATCACTTAATAAATTGCTTAAAAACATTGCTGGAGGTAAATGTGTTACTATTGAATAATATATACTGTATTGCTATCAAAAATATCTATTGTAAAAATTAGTTATTGTTATTTTCAGATCATTTATGCCTTAAGTATACATAAAACTAAACTAATGATAGTTATGTATTAGAATAACTTATAATTTTTACTAATATGATAATAAAATGTACATTAATTATAAATTTAAATATAAATTGTTTGCCATTTATTAAACAATTAAATTTAAATAAAAAAGAGATAAAAAATAATGACAAAAATAATTGCAACCAATTGTATGCCGAAATGATTGCATCAGTTTTCCAACCACTTTATAATACCAATTGATTACTAATATATTGTCATTGTTTTGCAGACTTGTATCAGACAAGTAATTATGTTTTGCAATCACTGGTTATACAGTACTTGTGTTGACAATAATGCTGTTGTTCTCCATCTATGTCTTCATCAGTCAAATTGAAGAGTAAACCATTCATTATATTATCAATTATTTATTAATACGGTATATACTGTTTCGGTATTTCTTATTTGCCTAAATTTTATTTTTATTTTTAAGTAATAAATTATTAATCATACCGGTATACACAAAAAGTTTTTTTTAATATCTAATTAAATCAATTAGTTATTATTTTTTAGATCAAATTTAAGATGTATTATTATTATTAAKAGTTATTATTTTTCAAACAAAGAATATATTATTTATTTAATCAAATATTTGTAAAAATAAATATTATAATTGGTTTGTTAAAAAAATATTTGACAATTATTTTCATTATTTTTAATGTTTATTACTAATATATTTAAAAAATAAATAAAATGTTATCTGCAATTTCGATAACTTATGTTTATCTTATATTTCATATCTTAACATATAATCAAAAAATATAAATCTTTTTTCCATGTGATTCAAATATATGACAGTATTAATTTAATTTTACAGTAAATTTATTATTGGATTATTTTTTATCACATTTTTCAATTAGTATTTCAATGATACAAATAATATACTCCAACACTTTTCATAACATTTTATTATCCAAAAAACCCAGCAATTTATGAACATTTGAATAAATATTTTTATATCATTATTTTTTATATCATTATTTTTTGTATAACACGTTTATTTAGTAAATTCTGTTACAGACAACAAACATAACATTTTAATTCACTAAAATGAGTGTCTCTTCTGTATAAAGTATATAACAATATTAAAAGTACAGTAATTTATTTAATATATTTATATTATAAAAGACAAATGTCTTATTAATTCAAATGTGATTTGCATTCAAAATGTTATATTTGAAAAAGCATTTATTTATTCTGTATATTTGATAGTATAAGATAACAAAAACACTATATTATTATGTTTGTGATACTTGAAAAATGTTATTCACTATTAGTGGTCTTTTATTTACAAGTTTTGATGAAACTCGAGGCCAACAAAAAATATTTTCATTTTTTCTTAAGAGATACGACAAACATATGAGTTGAGAAAATATCTTGTGATTCTCACAATTTTTTTTTAATTTTTTTTTAATTGTAAAAACAAATAACTTATTAAATACATTCAATATTATTGATTGTACAAAAAAAGTTTTTGAAAACACTGTTAACATAAAATAAAGTTAAGTTTTTTTTATTGTCTCCGATTTTGGCTAAATTTATAGAAAACATATTTATATTCTAATAAATTATAAAAATATTATCATCATCAATTATATTTATTTAATGATAGCTTTTGAATAACAAATAATCTAAAAGTTTAATCCATTTCTCTTTAATTTTCAAAAATGTTTTTTAAAAAATAAAATACAGTAGCAATATGTTTAAAAATCATAATATTTTTTTTAAATCAAGGGGTAATACATTAAAAAATAGATTATTTATATAATTAACTGTAATAGTATGTATTAACGAATATTTGCAATAATTGCCATAATAATTATTATTACACTACACAACAAATTGAAATCATAAGTAGAAATATGTTATCATCTTATTTATGATAAAAAATTATCGGAAATAAATAAATTATACATATGTTGTGCTTCATGTGTTGCCATTAAATCTATGATTAAAAGCTTAATAAACGTCAAAAACATTCCTAACCTTTTCAACTAAATATAACTAACTATAGAATAAAAAATAATATTCAATATATTTTGATTGATATTATTATTATTATTATTATTGCTGTAAATTTCTAAAGATTTATAGGATACAAGTTTTAACAACGTTTGAAATTATAATAATCAAATCGTCACACATATAGCAAACTCATACTATTTAAAGTATTAGACTAAATGTCAAAATCGATACGCTTTYATAACTCTGCATACTTTTAGTGGTCATTACCACCGATGGTCTCTTCAATTGCTAATAAATATGACATGGATTGCATGACTCGAGTTTCATAAACTCTTCTATACATTTAATACTTAATAATTAAGTGAAAGCAAAAATATAATTCATAAACCTTTAATAATAATAATAATAATGTAAATGTAATAATAATCATMAAAACTTGTTTTTACAACATGTAAGTCCTCACAACATTAATAAAAAAGTAGAAAAAATTAGCCATACATTCGGCAAATTAAAAGCGATTCACAAAAAATTATTGTTTCAAAAGACATTACTATATTAATAGTATTATAATGAAAAAAATGACGAAAGAAAAGTTCAATTTATGCATTTGTTWGGAAAAAATTGTTATTCAATATATATATATATATATTGATAACTTTTTTCATCACTTATTTAACGGACATTTGAGTTCAGTGCACCAAAAACCCGGAGCCCAGCGCACAGGTATTTAGTAGTTAAACACACTGGACCTGAGCTGCCATTGATTGATCTGTCTTATTGCTCATTAGAGACAAACCTGAAAAACAGGAATATTTTTTAGTTTGATATCTAATAAAAAATAATAATAAAACAAACATATATACCTTTAAATACAATTTTAAATTATTTTTTAATTTATTAATTAATTTTATTACAATCATATATCATAATTTAAGACTATATTACCAATACTGTTATACTGTATATTATTGTATTGTAAAATTTTAAAAATTATAAATAGTTTATCAGGTTATCAGTTTTATTAAATTTTTCTATAATAGTAAGTGTACTAATTTTTATAGTATTACTTAAAGACAATTGCAATTTTTTTTGGCAACACAATGTGAGTTATAAATTATAACTTTTTAATATAGAAATTGTTTTAAAAAACATCGGTATAAGTTATAAAATTATTTTTTTATTAAAAATTATATTACTGTAGTAAATCACAATAACATACATACACACTCACACATATATAAAAACAATGATTGAATTGAGTAATGATGAATGAAAATTAAATATTATGTAAATTTAAATTACATTTAAATTAAAAATAAATTTATGTGTAACAATTTTGTGCTATTTTTGCATTAAAAAATTCAAATTAATTTTAAAAACAAAATGAATGTCCACTAAAATGGATAATTAAAAAAAATGATAAAACTATTGTTTGGAAGATATTATTTGTCAACTTTAATAACATTATAGTTATAGAAATCGTTGTCATCATTGAAATACACTATAGGTTTCTTCTGTTTGATGGGTTTGCCGACAACCGGTTTGCTATCATTTGGCATAAACTCTACCGATGAGACCAATGTGGACGGCATCTGCCAATGACGACCACTAACACCACGCATACCACCCAAGAAAAAACTGGTCAAACCTACGGGCAGTTTAGTCTTCAAAACATTGTTATCATTGATGCCATTATTATTTTTGTCTGAATTGATTTTGTTTTTGTTGATTATGTTTTTGATTGTATTTGTTGGGACATCAGTTGTCTCTTTGACAACACTATGTGCTTCATAGGTGGGGAACGACATCATCCATTTCGGTTGATCCAATTGTTCAGGAGTTTTCTTTAGATAAATTACAACGGGTTTGTTTGATATATTTTTGACAACTGGCTTATGAAGTGCCAGATCTGATCCCAATCTTTCCCAGTAATTACCCCTTTGGGTGCCATACAGACCACCAAAAATCCAAGAACTCATGCCGTGTGGAAAAGTGTATGGAATTTGACGCTTTAATACTATGCCTTCGTGTCCATTGAATTTGGCTTCAGGAGCGACACCGTCTGATCGGGAAATCGGATATACAATTGGCTGAAAGTTGGGCGGAGGCAACACATAAATGGGATGCAAATCACTCGAGTCATCAATTGGTAAGTCTGTGATATGTCTTTGTTCAATGTATTGGTCACCAGAAAACATGTTTTCAAATTTGTTGGACGAATCGTAAAACGATTGCGGAATCGGTATTGGTTTTGGTGTAACAGCTTTTCGTCGCTGAAAATGACTATTCATTGGAAGAGATGGTAATCTTCTAATAGTTGTCAACGTTCTGCCCGTTCTTACTAATGGCAAACTATAGTGTTTGACAATTGATTTGGTGCCTCCTTTCACCCAAAAAGGTGCACTATATGTGAGGCTTATGTATAAACTAATTAATAAATAAACTGATTGTAAAAACTGCATTTTGGATGTCAACACACAATATTTGTTTCAGTTTTTTTAAATTAATACAAAAAACACACAAAACGAAAGTTTTTCAATTAGTTGTCATTAGAAAAAAATGTTCACAAATTTTGATAACAACTTTTTGTGTTTGGATGTAATGACCAAAAAAAAGACAGATATAATGTATGTTTTGCTTGTTTTCTGTGTGAAAGTCAAATACAAGAAATTATTTGAAGCACTTCTATCTTCTTTTGAATTGTTGCTTCTTTTTGATGCTCTCTCTCTCTCTCTTTCTATAAAAGTTGAAGTTTAGTAGAGATGATGTCTTTAATGGGCACCGATAGAGAGGCAATGTGTATGTGCACAGAGAGATAGAGGGATAGAGGTAGGTATGATCTTGAACTTGGAATGAATAATTAGTTCCTGTTTTTCAGGTTTGCCTCCAATGAGCAATAAGACAGATCAATCAATGGCAACTCAGGTCCAGTGTGTTTAACTACTAAATACCTGTGCGCTGGGCTCCGGGTTTTTGGTGCACTGAACTCAAATGTCCGTTACATAAGTGATGAAAAAAGTTATCAATACATACAAACAATATACGATTTTTTGCAAACAAATGTAAAAATTAGACTTTTCTTTCGCCAAATTTTTTTCATTATCGTTAAACAGTAATGTCTTTTGTGACAATGATTTTTGTGAATTGCTTTTAATTTGCCGACTGTATGGTTAGTTTTATCAACTTTTTATTATTATTATTAATGTAAGCTTGCAAATAGTAAAAACAAGTTTTGATAATCATTACTTATTACATGTATTATTATTATTATAAAATGTTTATGAATTATATTTTTGCTTTCACTTAATTATTAACTATTAAAAGTGTAGAAGAGTTTATGAAACTCGAGTCATGCAATCCATGTCTTATTTAATAGCAATTGAAGAGAACATCAGTGGTAATGACCACTAAAAGAATGTATAGTTTTGTATTAAGTTATAAAAACATCGATTTTGACATTTAGTTCAAAACACTATAAATGGCAAGAGTTTTGGTATATGTGTGACGATTTGATTATTATATTTATAATTTCAAACGATGCCATAAAAACTATGTCTATAAGACTTCCACTATTAATAATAATAATATCAATCAATATATATATTTTTAAAAACTATATTTAGTTATATTTTGTTAAAAATATTAGGTAGGCTTCAGTTACTTATTAAGATTTTTTTAAATAGATTGAATAGTCTAATAACACATGAAACACGACAATCAATGTTAMAAACATATACTGTATATTAATTATTCTCAATAAATACTGTATTTTCAAATACTAAAAGTTTATTTGTAATAATTGCAAATATTAAACAATAAGTATAAGTTAATACTAATACACTTTAATATATACTTTTAGTTTACAGTGTTTTCATTAACAAACTTTTAATGTTTCAATAATATTGATCAAATGTAATTATTTGTTTTTATACAAATAACAGATGATATTATTTTTAAAAATATAATGAGATTCATAAGATATTCACAAAAAAACTCATAAATGTTTGTCATGTCTTATGAAAAATGAAAATATTTTTTGTTGGCCTCGAGTTTCATCAAAACTTGTAAATAAAAGACCACTAATAGTGAATAACATTTTTCAAGTATCACAAACATAATAATATAGTGTTTTTGTTATCTTATACTATCAAATATACAGAATAAATAAATGCTTTTTCAAATATAACATTTTGAATGCAAATCACATTTGAATTAATAAGACATTTGTCTTTTATAATATAAATATATTAAATAAATTACTGTACTTTTAATATTGTTATATACTTTATACAGAAGAGACACTCATTTTTAGTGAAATAAAATGTTATGTTTGTTGTCTGTAACAGAATTTACTAAATAAACGTGTTATACAAAAATAAAGATTTAACAAAATATTAATTTAAATGTTTATAAATTATTGGGTTTTTTTTWAATAATAAAATGTTATAAAAAAGTGTTTGAGTTATTATTTTTATCATTAAAAATCTGATTGATAAAAGTGATAAAAAATTAATCCAATAATATTATTATAATATTAAATTAATAATATATTGTATTATATTATACTGTACACATAAAAAAGATTTATAATTTTTGATGATAATTTCTAGATATAAAATATACATAGATGATAAAATGAAATTATTAAAATTGTAAATATCATTTTATTTAGAAAATAACTTATATTATTACTTAACTTTTAAAATAATAAGTTGTCCATAATCTTTAAACAAACCAATAATAAGAAATATATTTTTACAAATATTTGATTAACTAAAAAACATATTTTTTGTATGAAAAAAATATTGAGTTCGAGTAATACATCTTAAATGACGGAATAATASTAAATTGAAAAAAGCTAACAAATTTCATAAACAATAAATTTAAATCTAATTAAATTTAAAAAAAAATATTTTTTTAGATATAAATTTAATAAAAATACTTTAGTATTAAAAATAACACATATAATTGTTAAAGGAATTGGGGTTAAAAAATGATAGTATTTTAATAAATAATTGATATTATAATAAATAGTTGTGAAAACTATTCTGAATCTTCAATTGAATTAATGAAAGCATAGATAGAGAACAGCATTATTGTCAACACAATCATAACCAGTGATCGCAACACATAATCAATGGTCTGACACGAGTCTGCAAAGTAATGATAATATATTAGTAATCAATTGGTATTATAAAGTGRTCGGAAAACTGATGCAATCATTTCGGTATACAAATTGATTGCAATCATTTATTTATGTATTTCATTCAACACATTAGAAATTAAATTAAATTAATTTCAATCTAATCTAATCCGGTATAAGATATTATTTTTAAAAATAAATATTACAATTATTATTGTGTTTTTATAGCAATATATAAAATGATAAAAACTATTGCAACAACTCTTAGCCCAAAATTATACCGAACTGATACATACCGTAATAATCGGACTTCGAATTCAGGAAACACTTGACAAGAGTCCAGATGGAGGACAACAACATAATGAAACAAAATGCAACAGATATGCTGTTTAGACACGAGTTCTCTATTAAGGCACCGATGAATGCCAACACAGATAATACAAAACCTAACAAAATAAGGATGAACTGAATGATTGAAAACTTGTCGCTAAACGGCTTATCATCGCCGGTAAAGTATGCGATTAATTCAATGAAATATATGAATGCCAAGACTGCTGAGACACCCATCAAAATGAATTTGACAATTGTGTTAAACAGTGGTTTCGATGCCATTTTAGTTTATCCGTGGTCTCACTGATGATAATAATAGAAAACAAAAAATAATTAATTATTAAATACCAAATAAAATCGACAAATTTTTGCAAATAAAAACTGCTTTTTAAATAAAATTAATTGAACGTGACTTTCAATTGAGATATTAAAACTAATTTTGTTTTATTAAATTACAACTTATATGAATATATTATACATAACTTTATATTATATTTTACTGAAGTAATAATAATAGTGTTTTATATTGTCATCTGAAGTGTATAGTTCAGCAAAAAATATGGACAAAACACTTGTGATAAATCAAGTGTTTGTCTTAAATATCAATGAATAATACATTTTAAATAACAGGAAAAACAAATACAAATAAATTAAATAAAAAATGTAAAAAAACTCAAAAAAATAAATACATTAATAATGAATAATAATATTACAAATAATACATTAAATTATAAGAGAATTTAGGCGAAGAAATGGTATATTAATAAACAAATGATAATATGATAAATGGTTTTTAGCCTTCAATTGAACTGATGAACGCACAGATGGCGAACAGCATTATCGTCAGCGCAAAGATGATCAGCGATCGGATCACATAGTTCTGGGTCTCGCAGTGATCGGCGTATTCAGAGTCGGCATTCAGAAAGCATTTGATTAGTAACCAAATGGCATACAATAACATAATAAAACAGAAGGATAATGATATGTTGTTCAGACAGGCGTTCTCTATTATGGCACCGATGAAGGCCAACGCAGACAATATAAAACCCATCAAAATAAGAATGAATTTAATGGTAGACGCGATGTCTACAAATGGTTTCGAAGATTCATCGGTAAAGTATAAAATCAGTTGAACCAAATGCATGGCAGCCAAGAATGATGAACAGACCATTAAAATGATTTTGACAATTGTGTTGAAAAAAGAATTTGCCATTTGGTCTGATCAATGGTCAAAGTGATGGTCAAAGTGATGGTCAAAGTGATGGTCAAAGTGATGGTCAAAGGTTTTTACAGATTATGAAAAAATAATAAAAGAGACGACAAATTAAAATCAATTATTAGACACAAATTAACCGACAAATGAAAACAGATTTTCAAATGATTTGACAATTCTTTCGTCAAATTCATTGCAATTGTTGTCCGAACGAGACGTCAGTTTCATTGACTCAATAGTCAGTGTTTTATACATTTTTTTGGATCAAATTCTTTTCTTTTCTATAATTTATGGTATAATTTGTAACAAAAAATTTAATTAATTGTTTTTATATAATTTAAATTAAAACTAATTTTGTTTTTTTATGCAATTAAAAACTTTTATATATTTTATATATAAATATATTTCATATAATGCTATACTTTACAGAAGTGACAAAAATGTTTCAAATTGTCATTCAAAGTGTACTCTTCAGGAAAGGTGTGAACAACACTGTAAGTCAAGTCTTTGTCTTTTTTTTTTAAAAAAAAAAATCTTAAATTTGGTGATAATTTGATTGAAATAATAGTTTATTAAAATTGTTAATCAAATCAATGAATGCAATGTTTGGCGCTTTCAATGAATTCAAACATTTTTTTTGAGCGCCAGTTGTCTGACAACACATGACTGACAACAACACCACTGAAGTGACGACATCTTCATTGACGACAAACCACTGATTGTTGTCATTGTGTTATTACAATCACTCAATCATTTCATCACTAGATTTAATAACAATTAATTTAATTATTAAATCACTTATTATTTGAAAAGATTAGTTGTTTTGTTTGAATCACTTAATCATGACTTCTCAATACTTTCAGTCGACGACAACCAATGATAACGACGACGATATTCAGGTCATTGAAACTTCGACTGCAGTTAAACAAGAGACCAAAACTGAAGAGGACATCATTGAGATAACGGAATCACCAGAAGTAGTCCGAAATCGGAAACAAATTAAATGCGATACAATTGAATCGCCAATTAATATACCGAAGAATCGCGTTAAGAGACGACTCGATGACAGTGACGACGAGGAGTTGAGTCGTAAACAAATAAAGACAACGACAACAACCAATGATAAGAATGGATCCGCAGATAAACGTATTGAAGACGACATCGGAAAAATGGCTTTTGAAGAAATGTGCGAAAACACTATCAAAGAGTTACAGTCATTGTTTCCAGAGATTGATATCTGCGAAATACAGGACGCACTCATCCAAAGTGATTGGTCAGTCTTTAATGCGTCCATACTTTTGGGAAATCTTTATGAACCACCTGAACGGGAAACTAAACCMATTGTCACCGAAACTAAGCCACAGATCTGTACGAACAACGAAAAGATGAAGAATTTGGACGCTTATCGTAAATGGCGACCGGGTGTCTCAAATAGTGGACACAATGTGGCCTCGGATGATGAAGTGACAGCTGAACCGAGTCATAGTTATAATTCTATTAAAAATAATCGACAAAAATTTGTCAAAAATTATAACAATAAAAAGTTGGAAGTGTTAAGTGATGACAGCGATGCAGATGACGATGAAGAGGAGTTCACTAAGACATCTGAGGGTTTTGTTTGCGAAGATAGCAGTGATGCCGATAGTGATCGAAGTGATAACGATTTGCAGCGAAAATTCAAAGAAAAGAGTTCCAATAAATTGTATATTAGGACTCAGGACTTAAAGAACAAAGTGGTCGACTTCTTACAGACTTCATATACCTTTGAATTGGAAGTGGTTCCGGGTGTTAGCAAAAAGAAAATTGATCTCATTGTAAATATGCGACCATTTCATGACTGGAATGACGCCATTTGGAAGTTTCGTAACTCCAATCTATCCGAAGAAATTTTGGACAATTGTGCCGAAGTTATGCGCGCCAGAGAAGTGGTCAATAGATTGATGAACTCATGTGAAGATATTGCAAAAAATTTGTCCGATACTGTAGACCGACTGACCGCTTTGGATCAGCCAAAAGTGTTGAACAATGAGATGAAATTATCTCACTATCAGATGATTGGTCTCAATTGGTTAGCATTGATGTACAGGAAAGGTATTAACAGTATTTTGGCGGATGAGATGGGTTTGGGAAAGACTATTCAAGTGATCGCATTTTTAGCCTATTTAAGAGAAACCAAGAACTTGACAGGTATTCATCTGGTGATAGTTCCGGCCTCGACATTAGAGAATTGGAGTCGTGAATTCCAGACGTGGTGTCCTGACATCAAATTATTGCTTTATTATGGCTCTCAAGAGGAAAGGGCTATGATTAGGGAACAGATTAGTCGTAAAGAAATTGATTTTGATGTCATTCTTACCACATATACTATCGCCCAAAGTCCTGGTGATAGGGGTCTGTTCAAGAAAAATAAGTTTTCTTATTGTGTCTTTGATGAGGCACACTATCTGAAGAACATTAAGAGTATTAGATACGAGTCACTTATGAAGATTAAAGTAATCTTTGAATGTCTTATTTTATTTGAAATGTAGTATTTATTGTTGAAAATTGATTTATTAGGCTAAACATCGACTCTTATTGACCGGAACTCCATTACAGAACAATTTGGTGGAACTCATGTCGTTATTGATCTTTACAATGCCAAACATGTTTAATGGCAAAGTGGATCAGATTAAGAAATTGTTTACTTATAGCAACGTTTGTATTAAAGTTGATAATAGAAATTTACCATAAATTTTGATGAAATTTTTTTTATTGATATCATTATCACAGAATGATTCGAGTGATCGCATAAAATATATCAACGATCGCATAGAACAGGCAAAGAAAATAATGAAACCATTTGTCTTAAGACGCCTCAAGTCTGAGGTATTATTCTTTGTTAATAATTATGAAATTTTTAAAACAAAAACGTGTTTTCGTTTACTTAGGTCCTCAAAGAGTTGCCACTAAAGATAGATCACGTGTTAAATGTACCGATGAGTATAACTCAAGAACAGATCTATCACGAGCTGATAGAAAACTATACGCGAGAAATCAAATACAGAAAAATAACATTTGAAGACAGCGAACAAAATGAAGACAATAATGAAGAGAAGTATAAGAAGGGCAACGGAATGTTGATGAATCTTCGCAAAGTAGCCAATCATCCGCTTCTTATACGACATCATTATAATGACAATAAACTTAAACAAATGTCACGACTGGTAATTAAAGAACCGAAATATAGAGATTCAAATGTCGACTATGTGTTTGAAGACATGCAAGTGATGCACGACTTTGAACTKTACAGACTTTGTAATGATTGTGAATCATTGAAAACGTTTCGATTAGATCACAGTTTTATTGAAGATTCGGGTAAATTCAAAGAGTTGGACAGTTTACTCACCAAATACAGACTGGAAGGCAAACGAGTTTTATTGTTCAGTCAGTTTGTCATTATGTTGGATATAATTGAAGAGTTCGTTAAATTGCGATCTTATCGATATTTAAGACTTGACGGAAGCACTAAAGTGGCCGATCGGTTGGATCTGATAGATAACTATAATAATGATTCGGACATTTTTGTCTTTTTGTTGTCGACACGCGCTGGTGGACTGGGAATCAATTTAACGGCAGCCAATGTTGTCATCATTCATGACATTGACTTTAATCCATATAATGACAAACAAGCAGAAGATAGATGTCATCGTATCGGACAAACACAAGAAGTCACTGTTTATCGTTTTATAAGTCAGGGAACAGTTGAAGAGGGAATACACAAGATTGCAGAAGAGAAACTCAAATTAGGAAATGATATATCGGAATCAAATCAAGGTTTGAATTTTAATTATAAATTTAGTGCAATTTTATCAAAATTGTTATTAAAATATCTATTTTATAGGCAAAGATGATAAAGAAGAAAGAATTGATAAGTCAGACGTCAAGACATTGTTGAGAGCGGCTCTCAAGTTATGACCAAATGTTTATTAATATGAGTTATAAATACATAAATGGATAGAAATTAATTAATTTATAATTGTAAGCACATTACAGGTATCTAATAAAATAAAATAAAATAATTCGGTAATATTTTATATAAAGTATTATTATTATTATTTTTACTTTTAGTATTTTATTCAATTTAATTATTTTTTGGTTTGTTTTTTAKCTTTATATACAATATACTGTATTTCTTATGAAATAAATATTTTTAAAATAACAAATAACTTTATCTTAAATTCTTATCATAATTACCACTAGTTTTTTGGCTCTTATTAGAAACTCTTATTGCAAACATTTACCGATAATATTATTATTTTGATACAGTATTGATAATTACGGTACTGTAAACCAAATAAAAAATTATTACCTGAATTCAAATAATGAAAAAATAATGATATGGTAAGCAATTAGAGATAATTTAACAAAAAAAATATTTATTAACAACTCGTGTAAATAACTTGTTGGTTATAATCGTTAACATTATTAGACAATCCATTACCGGTAATTAATTATTAACGCAATGAAAAATGAGATTTTACATTATATTAAATACTATAATTAAGAGTAATACAGTATAGCTGGTATCATATTTAAAAAAATCATTAATAACATTGTTTTAAAAATCACGACAATAGGTAATAGTTGTATAAAACATTATATAATAAAAAGTTATTACCATAAATAATAATACAATAATACTGTATATTATCTTAATTTAGTAAAAAATCATATTTTTGCAGAAGTGGTAGCTCTCTTAGGGAACAAACTCGAGTACGTATTGCTTGATAGCCGCTGGAAGCTGTAGTTTATTGATATTCTGAGCTAATTGTCGGCCCATTGAGTGGTAAATGGTATTTCTGGCGATACTCTTGAGTGGTCGCGGATTTGTCGATAAATTTCTTACAAGTGAAGACAATTGCTGTGAATTGCACCGAATAGTACCGTTTATGAGTTCCCGATTGAGTCGTTGCAGACATGAGAACAATGGTTTGTGTGACATCGCGTGATAGTATAACGATACTGGTTTTGTGAAGTACTGTTCAGACGATTGGTCGTCAATCAGCACCTCTTCTTTGCGCAACAAGTAATGAATGTAATAGAAGAGTACCTAAACAAAGATATATATGAAAAGTCAAGACATTATCAGTAATCAAATAATAGTTTCATTACATGATCTGCGCTTTTCTGTGACAAAGAAGAACTTTGCGAATAACAAGTGGTCGACTCAGTTGAGCACTTGATATCAGGATTGGCCCCAAATTTGATTAGTGTTAGCGACAAGTCGTGGACATAATCCAAATCGGAAGGCATTCTAGCGTTTTGTACTAAATCAAGAAGAGCTAATAGTATGTGTTGATTGCGCTGAGAAAAGTCAACATTTGGGTCGAGTTTGTGCTGTAATAAAACGGTCAGCACTTGTCGTATGAATGCAAAAGCGGCCGGTTTGTCACAGTTGGTCAGTGACATGTATTCACTCGCACTAAACACCAGTACATGTAGTGGTGTCAGTGTGTTTCGATAGTACGAACAGTTAGGATTTGCACCGTATTTACACAAAATGCGGACACAATTCAAATACGAGACTTTTTTCGAGTGACTCAATAAATGCAATAAACCCTTATTAAGGAGTGGTGTGAAGCACAATATCAATGGCACTGAGCCATCCCTACCAACACAATTGGGATCAGCTCCGTATTGTAAAAGCATATACAGTAGTTCAAAGCGGAACTCCCAATCTTTAACATGTCTCAATACACAGCACAGGGCGCTATTGCCCTTACGATTGATGCTTTGCAAAACTCCCTGTTGTAGTATAAATCTAAAAACTGAAAATATATGACAATATCTTAGAATATGAAAGTCCTAATTATGGTGTAAAGTGCTTACTGTGTAACATATCCCAAGTTGTCCACCGAAGCTGTTGTTCAGTGCCGTTATGTGAGGGACTGTTATATTGCGACTCTTCTAATGAATATCTGACTATAAGTGCGTGTAATGGAGTATTGCCGAGACTGTCCGGTTCGTTGACAAGTAGTTTGCATCCCATTTCAAACAGAAGCTTAAGTGTGGCTAATGTGTCATTTGATGACTTCTTGCCCAACAATAATAGTACGTGAAGTACAGTCAGCTGTTGTGTTGATGTACGCTGAGTGAGATCGGCGTTACACTAATTGATAGCAAAACAACAACAAAAATACACTTCAAAATGATTTAGTTATAACTTTGTTGTTAAAAACCTGTATTAAAAGCTCTAAGAATTTGATGTCCTGGAGGACTGCCTGATGTATTGGAAAATACTCGTCGTATAACTGGTTTATCTCATCAGGTCTTTCGGAAATAAGATAATTGACACAATTCCAGGCGCCTCTCTCGAAGGCCGAGTGTAATAATGGTTTCTTCTGRCAGTGCCACGGAAGCCAATTGTCTTCTGACCGAAGCATCACATACTCCAAAATGGACGCCTGATCGCCGTCTATTGCATAATAGTCAGCTGATTGTAGTCTATCGCTGGTCGAGTTGTGTTGTGACCCACCGTTCCATAAAAGACCAGATTTTCGGCCCAACTCACAGTTAGGCGAATGAGGTCCCGGATAACACATACGGGCCTCGCAATCAACTCGCGCCCCGAATTTGACCAATAGTTCAACAATTTCAATGGGTCCGTTAAGAGTAGCGATATGTAATGGTAGACTACAAGTGCCGCGATTGCAATCACATCCATAGTTAAGCAACCATTTAGTTAGTTCTACACTCTTCAGACTGACTGCTCGCTGAAGAATGTTATAACCATTACAATCGATTACCAATAATAGGTTCTCACCCTTTAAAAGCAATACAAAAAAAGATTAATTATCACTGACTGATCTATTTTTTTTAATGACAATCCATCAAAACTGACTGACCTTCGGAATCGGTGACAAATAAGTCTCGTGAATGTAATTCCAGTTGATATGATTGGCGTCATTGGAGTAGTTGTTGTTGAGCTCAACCAGAAGTGCTGACACAATCTGTTTGGTCGACTCCGAGATATATCCCGTCGGATACGAGTTAAACAAATGGCTAATTGTCTTAATGTTGCTGTTATTCCCAAACAAATTGCTGATAAATGAGCCCATCGTTGAGCACATCCGCGACCAAAGACTCATTGAAAATGCATCGATTGACTCRCTAAACCAGTTGTTAAAAGATCTGATCGTTTCAACAGCTGTTGTCTGACCACCACCTGGTAGTGGTCATCATCGACCAGATTATACAAATGCAAACTTTACGACAAAAAGCCCTTTAAATGCAATACAGTGTCAAACAGTTAAGCTTTTGGYTAAAATMTGGTCATAAATCTTGTGTTGCAATCGGTGGCCAAATCGGTGGTCAATTTGATTGCACACCTCGTCGTAGTCTTTCTAATAATACTTCACTTCATCTGTCATTACAGTGACTGCTCTGTACTTCACATGACATGACATCACTTGACTGTCACTACTATTGTGTATAAACTCAATGGATATTAACATTGAATGCAATCATGACTTTTGACATTTAAAAAGCAAATCAATGCCAACATTGGGTTTGTGTCGACATATACTGTATATACTGTATGTATGTCTTGAATATAACAATTATTTGACAATTTTATTCAATTTGTTTATTGTTTCTTATTTTTTTTCAATTGTGTGCCACAAATGTCTTATAATTTATTTAAAAAACAATTTAATGTGTAATTAATGTCTAACTAATTATTTGAAGCTTTAATTAATTGATAAATATTTGTATTAATASTGTAATAACAAACTTGTATTACTTGTAATAAACTATTATATCATTAAATACTATCAATGCAATAGACTGTTGCAATTTAGATAGCGTTGCAATTATTGAAATTTTCAATCCAAAAACTTCCCAATAATTTTTCAATATTAGTTTAATTATTTACCATTTGATTTTATTTTGTGCTAATTACTAAAACAGTTATATTAATTTAATTGATGAAAATTTATATTGATTTTAATTACATTGAATCTAAATCTCAATTTTGTTAATTAAAAAGAAACCTATTATATAGTTACTGTATATTGTAATAGGTATAAGAAATTAGGAAAACTATAAATAGGAGAGAATTTATTGAATTGAGTGAAAATTATATATTTCTATACATATTAGTAGTGAATTCTAGCGTTCAAACAGTTTATCAAATATTTTCGTAAATTATTTTGCAGTTTTTACTATGAGTTCATACATAAAGTTATAATAAAATGACTGTATATTTAGTRTAAAAGTGTTTGACAAGTGATGGCCAACACATAGACTTAACATTGAATGTCATTGAATTGTATACACAAAACACCGGTCAATGATTGGTAACGTTGTATGTGTAGTGAGTGTCGGTTATGTTCATCAATGCCAACGTGTAATAGACTTAACAAACAATTGAGACAATCATTGATTGCATTGACTGTAATCACCAAATCATCACTTGATTTGTTCACATCATCACCGATAAGATGTACATCAAATCACCGCAAATACATTTATGGACAATAGTGTCGGTGTTGTTATACCTTTGCCACAGACTTGACGCTTATTTTCTGGTAATCGACGCTCACGCAGAAGAGTGTTTCTTTGACAAAGTGGTGACCGGAACCAAACTCGGCCTTACCTTTGAGGTCGTGGAGGGAGGCTTTCTGGACATCGATGTCAAGATTACAGGTAAGAATAGCGTGTAATGTTTGCCATTATTTTTTGTTATAATTATTATTCTTTTTAAATATTGATGATATAAAACTTTAATTTATTTTTATTATCACTCAATTAGGTCCCGACAGCAAAGTGATTCACTCGGAAGAGAGAGCGTCGAGCGGTAAATACACGTTTGCCGCTCATATGGACGGCAATTATGTGTACTGTTTTGGCAATAAAATGTCTACAATGACACCTAAAGTGGTAATGTTTTCGATGGACATCGGAGACGCACCGAAAACAGAGGAACAACTGAAAGCACAGGACGCCAATCACAACAAACTGGAGGAACAGATTAAAGAGTTGTCCGGTGCTCTAACAGCTGTCAAACACGAACAGGAATATATGGCAGTTCGTGACCGCATTCATCGGTCAATTAACGAGAGTACTAACTCTCGAGTAGTGTTGTGGGCCTTCTTTGAGGCACTGGTTCTCGTGGCCATGACTTTAGGTCAGGTCTATTATCTCAAGAGATTTTTCGAAGTCAGACGAGTCGTTTAGTCCTTAAGTTATAGTTTTTATAATAACTCAAATTATAAATTAAATTAATTAATAATTATATAATTATAACTATAATTTTCTCTCAATATTTTGTAATTTATTATTTACAAGATTTATTAATATTGCTATAAAGTGTCACCAATTTTTTTATGTAAATATTTGATTAAATTATTAAAATTATGGATTGTTTTTTAAAAATTATTAAATAATTGTTTATATGTTAATTAACTATAAATATATAAACAATTGAAACATTTGCTAATATAATAATTTAAAATAACTAATGATTTTGTTAATTGTAATCAAAACTATTAACTATTGATTAGATGAGAATATATTGTAATATTAATAGAAATATTTGCAAACATAACGTAATTTATGTATAGTTTGAGTGCTTTATTGACTACAAATTGTTTCCATTGTTTTCATCGATTGTCTCATAAATTGAATGTCAATTCTGGCGACTGCTATGACCTCACATGTGGTGACCGCCGAACCCGTGGCCGAAGAGAAACCAATAGACAGGGAGAAGGTATGTCCAAATGAAATGACAATAATAGTATCAAATGACTTAAATATGTTTGTTTTGYCGACAGAAATGTCCATTACTTCTTCGTGTGTTTCTCTCGATGAACGGCAGACACAACAACTGCAATGAGTTCTCGCGTAACGAATGTCCACCGAATGAGCTTCAGGTGTACACTTGGACTGACGCCACACTCAAAGAGATAACCGGTTTGGTCAAAGAAGTGAATCCAGATGCCCGACGAAAGGGAACATTCTTTGACTTTGCTTTGGTATATCCCGACCCTCGCGGACCTATTTATAGGATGCGAGACATTGGCACAACTTGTAGTGGTGTCAAAAATCCCGACGATATTAAGACTCTGGCCGATTGTCGCTTTCAAATCGGCGATTATTTAGATATCGCTATTCAAACGCCAACAGATCGACGGCCAGTCAACAGACGTGACGGCGGCGGCGGAGGATATATGGGTCGACAACACGATCGTCGCGACCGACCGTATTAGACGTTTATACAACAAGTCATTCAAATCACATGAGTTGCGCTTCATTTAACACTTTTTTAATATTTAAAAATTAGTGATAAAAATAAATTACATTTTAATTTTAAATGTCTATATAATTAATGTATCATTTATTTAACAAATGAATGGCAAGTGTTTCGCAATCCATTAAATCTAAATCTTTTGTTAACTTTTGTCTTTTGCTTTTAACTATTCGTTTATTTAATTTTCGTTTTAATATATTTTTGTTAACTTCTTCTCTTTTATTATCATTTTGATCTTCAATTACACTTTCATTCAACTCTTTATTGTTTTTCTCTTCAAATTCATTATCAAATGATTGGTCACTTTCCGACTTATCTTCATTGTGCTCATCATTGTCACTATAATCTTCATCATCATTATCACTAACATCTTCATCATTTGTGTTATCATTATCCGATTGATTGTTATAATAAAGCTCAGGATCAGGCAATGCATCTATTAGTTGATTCAATTGATTATATGACTCATCACCGCTATCCCCAGTGGCCAATACAGCTGTTCCTCCATTAGACTCCCTTTCCTTTCTCTTTTGATCCTTTAGTTTTTGTTTCTTTTCTTTGTGTCTAACCTTCACTAAGTCTTTATATAATTTTTTATCGATTACATCTTCATCTTTCATAATTTCTTTGGCCAATTCTATATCAATTCCACTGATATTTTTCTCATCTAATTGTTTAGTTTTTTCAGACACTTGTCGTGTTGGGAAATCCTCAACAGGAGTTCCGTCTTCATTGAAAATAATTCTTGTGTTTGGTTTAAACTTCTTTTTCAACAACTTCTTGGCCATCGCTGCTTTGGTCAGCGCTTTCTTTTCTTTTTCTTTTGGTTTAATATTAGGTTGTTCTCCGTCTTCATTCAAATCAAACCTCCAGACCTTCTTCACAGAAAACAATTCGTCGTCACTTTCGTCATCATTATTCAAGTCATTAAAATTAATTTTATCAGTTGTTTTGTTTTCAACAGTTTTGTKGTTTTCTGAAAGATTTTTTTGTTTCATAGCTTTCTCAACAAACCGAACTCTTGGAGTTATAGCTAATCCAAAAGAAAAGGCGAACTGATCTAAATTGAGTTGTTTGACATCAAACACTGTCTTGTCTTTCATCATAAATGTGTTTTTAATGTATGATTTGAAAGCTCTTTGAGCCGTTTCCTTAAGTGTATGATCTCTGGCACAAAGAGCCTCAGCTTTTCTTTGAATTGAAAATAGTTTTTTAGGATTTACTTCTATTTTATCGATCGGAATCTTTTTTTCTATCAATTGTCTTATCATTGATTTGTCTTCTGATGGTAAYAAACAAAGCAGAGATTCGCCGCCTTTTTGATAACGAGCTGTACGTCCGACGCGATGGATATACGTATTAACATCTTCAGGACAGTCCAACTGTAAGACCCAATTAATGGCGGGAAAGTCGAGACCTCGAGAGGCGATATCAGTTGCAAAAAGTATAGCATTTTGTTTGCGACAAAACTCATCGTAAATAGCCATTCGTCTCATTTGATGAAGAGTACCATAAAGTGCTAAAAGTGTTACACCGGGTTTGAGTCGACAAAACAGATCGTAACAGTACTTCACTTGTTTACAACTCGACATAAATACTAATGTCTTTTGCTTTTTATGGTTTTTGATGAAAGACCACAACATATTCAGTTTGTCCTCTAAATCGCATACAATGTAATTCTGTGTCAAAGTATCGGGTGTCGAGTGTTCAGCCTTTTCGTGAACCCAAACATATACGGGATCTTTAAGACTGAGTCGCGCCAAGTCTTTCACTGATTTTGTTTGTGTCGCCGAAAACAAAAGTGTTTGTCGTTTTTGCGGTAAATTTTCAATAATAGCGTTCATAGTCTGTGCAAAACCCATATCAAGACATCTGTCGGCCTCATCTAAGACCAATATCTTCAGGTTATCGCAGTTAAAGATAGGGTTCTCATCCATGTGTTGAAGTAGTCGTCCCGGAGTACAGATAACAACATTACACTTATCCATCCTTTTCTTCTCAAATTTTAAGTCTTTACCACCGATAATAAGTCCGGCAGAGAAGTCGTGATATTTGCCTACTTTTCTCAGGACTTCAAAAATCTGATACGAGAGCTCTCGTGTCGGTGTTATAACAAGTGCTCCGATTCCGTCCATTTGTGTCCACTTATTCGTGTAAAGGACTTCAAGGATTGGCACCAAAAAGGCCAGCGTTTTGCCCGAACCAGTCTTGGCTGAGGCCAACACATCTTTACCTCTAAGCGCTGGTCCGATRGCCTGTCTCTGGATATCTGTGGGTTCGGTAAATCCGTTTTGATCGAGTCCTTCACGTGTTTTGTTGGACACGGGAACAGTGCGGTAGTCATTAAATTGTGACCAATCGTACGACTCGTAAGTTGAGACCAATTGTTGTATTTTTTGGGTTTCGACGTCTGATTTCTTTACTTTGATTGGTTTCGAGTCATCATTAGATTCTGTGGCAGTCTTTTCCTTCTTCTTCTTCATTTTGTCAATCATTTCATAAAATCTTCAAACACTTGATTGATATTATGATATAACGTAAGCAATGGTTTAAAATGTTTTTATAAACAYATATGACATTAGAAAACGTGTTTTTGAATACCATTTAAATCAATATATAAATCAAAATCATTCATTAATTACGTCTACAATATTTGGATTCAATTGAAATTTAGTAATAAATAATATAATTTATAAAATTTATTTAAAAATAATTTAATTTATTTAATAATCAAAAAAAGCAATGATATCAACAAAATATGACAAAAACAGATAATATATTATCGTTTTCGCTCTGATTTCCACTTGAATTGCGGCGCTTTAGTGGTCGACCCCTTGGAAACCGATTTTGGTTTTTCCTCTTTTTTATTCTGTTTAATAAAATGCAAATAAAAACATAATTTTAATTAATATTAAAATTAATAAAATAAATCATTAGCTATTAATTACCAGTAATTTCTTCTTAATGTCCATCTTTTGATATAAAAGATCTAAAAATTTTAATCTTTCGATTCGTCTCTCCAATTGTTGGTACGATTTGTTTCTCAAGTGTGCAATATTTTTGATATCTTTTTCATCAATTTTATCCATTAATTGGTCCGAATTGGAGATATTATAACCCATTTTCAGCAACTCTTCACTTGTATTCAAACGTTTGGCAAAATCAAAGTTTTTCTTTTCTTTTTTGTTGTCGACAAAGAAATAGTGTTTATTTTTTGATGGTTTTTCGCAATCAATTAAATGCAAGTTTTGTCTTAATTTCTCGATTTTCTTCAATTCAATAATACGTTTCTGTTGAATATAATTAATATCTTGTGTTTGCATCAGTTGTTTCTCCTCTGCGGTCAACTCTTTGTCGTCATCTCTCATCTCGTAATGGACACCATCTTTCAGTTGCGATCGAATCATATGAAAGTGAAATTCTTCGGAATTCTTGTCCAATACCTTCTGTCGCATCAATTTATATGCCTTTTCCTTCTTCTGGAAATCACTTTAATTGTTCAAAAAGATGTGATTATTGTTATGAAAATAAAAACAAAGTAATGAATGCAATAATTAATGAATTAGTAATAACTCATTACTTAGCCCTTTGTTTGTAGTCCTTCTTCTTTTCCAAATATCCCAAATGTTTCCGAAAGTCAGGCTTTAAATCAATGAACAAGTAATCCATACAATCAATGGTTAAGTATATTGTCATCCAATTGATCCATAAACACATACCTGATGTCTCTCTTTATGTAATCTCTGTCGAGACTTTATCGCCCTTTTTAATGAAGACATTGTGATCTTTAAGCAATAATATCGAAGTTTATATCAATCAAACAAAAATGGGATCAAATAAAGTGACAATTAGTGAATGAATACAAACACGTGTTCAACAAAACAAATCAAACATTTTTATTACAATATAAACATTGCATACAATTTACAAACACTAACCCATAGGTGGCATACATGACATCATTATATACTGTATAAAGATATTTAGTATTTTATTAAATTATACAGTATTTTATTAAAATTATAATAACATTAAATGTATTATTAATATCACAATTTTATTAAATCAATATAATATTATATTACTTATAACTTATACAAATAGTACAAGTGTAAGTTATACATGTTTATATAACTTATACAGGTAAAAATTTTAAAATTTTAATTATATCTTATTTTTATAATTATCGAAAATTATTAAGCTATTATAAATAAAACTATCAATAAAAAATCATGATTGTCAATAATATATTGTAATAATTAAAATATAAACTAATAAAAAATACACATTACTGCATAAAATTATTTATATAAAAAATGTTTTTAATTTAGTTTATATTTTATAGTTTAATTTAGTTAAGTTTAGTTAATATAGTATTATATAAAATATTTAATTTAATACTTTTTTGTAGAAAAATAACAGTTTTAGCGTCAAATTGATTACAGTATTCTTTATAACTAATCTTTTGAATTATTCATTACGTTTAACTAAATTGTTATTAAAAAATCAACACAAAAGTGTTGTATATTCCGTATATATATATCACTACTATTGATGCTATTTATAAAGTTTTATAAGTATATTAAGATATTGAGACTATAATCTAATTAATTACATAATATTGTTTAACAATTTAATTTTTAATGTTTTACTTGATGGCTAATTATGATATATCTAAAAACAATTATTTTGTTAATTTATGTGTGTTAATAAAACCGGAATAATAATTTTCACACGTAATTTTATCACTTAAATTATTTTGCAATTATAATTTGAATATAAATTTGTCACAATGTATAATACATCAGTTAATTTAATATTAAATATAATAACATAATAAAATAAAAATAAGATTTTTGTTTTTTAAATATTATTATTAAATATGATTTTTAATATAACTCATTTATACAATATAACTTATATGCTGTATATGTGTATATGTATATTTTATATTAAATTTAATATAATGTAATGTTAAATTATTTAGTAAATGAAAATATAATTTAAAACATATAATACAGTAATTACTATTAATATCTTTAATTAAACTCTTATGAAATATTTTGTCAAAATTTGTTGCTAATTTAACTAATGATAAATTTTATTTTTAATATTTAATTTATTTATAATGCAAAACAAAAATAAAATAAATTAAAAAAAAATTATAAATAAATTAAAAATTTTGATTTATAATTTGTACTAAGTATCAAATTTAGTATCTAATTATTCAATAATTATTTGAATCTTAAAAACTATTAGTGAAAGTTAATATAAAAATTACTCATAAAATTAAGAAATTATCATATTTTATTTTATTTATATCAAGTGTATATATAAAAAAATAAATATAAATTTTTTATAAAAATTATTTAAAATTAATTTAAGAACAATTATTAACTAAATTCAGTTCATTTGAAATTTAAAAATTTATATAAAAAATATTAACTAAATCAACATTAATTGTTCTATCAATTAAGTTTAATAAATATAACATAAAAATATTATTAACTGTAAATTGTTGATATTAATATMTTGCTTTAAATTATTGTTGAAATAAATTAATATAAATATTGCTTTAAATTTTGAACATAAGGTATACTATAGTTTTCAATGTTTGCATTTGAGAATAGGATTGACGATTGTTTTGATTGACTGTTTGTTGGAAATAAAGTAATTGAAAGAAATAGTCCTAAAAACTATTTTGCAAAACACATATAAAAATTGTATTATAAAAGAAAACTCATTTCAATATAGCTTTGTAAGAAAATTTTACAGAAATATAGAGAGATTTTATTATTAGGTGGTGTTATCAGTGATGCCGTCACCAGTTTTGTGAGTGATTTTCAAATAAATTGAGACTATTGTTGTAGTAATGCAAGTGTGAAGAATTGGATGCACTCATAGAAGAGATAGACATTCAAAGAGGAATTACAATAAATCTATAGAAATACGAAATATATTTGATTTATACAATGATATGGTTTATATCATATCATTTCCACTCCAGCTTCTCTCTCTCTCTCTCTCTCTCTCTCTCTCTCTCTCTCTCTCTCTCTCTCTCGACTTAAAAATTTTTAATATTATTTTAAATATATCATAAGTTATTTTTTGTTATATAGGATGTTTAAAAATTTTAAGATATATCTACATTTTATTAATAGAAAAATAATTTGACCGTAGATTTGATGGCAACAAAACATGTGAACTATTGATATAAAAATGTTTGAAAAAAAATATTTCAAATTCTTTTGTCAATCGACTGTTTGTATTAAAATGAAGTTTAGTTTATTATAAATGTGATGAATCAGACATTTATATTGCATTCAAACAAAACTTCTCTAATAATAATAATAATAAAATCATTGAAAACATATTACATTTAAACAATACTATTTTTAAACAACACAGTCATATACAACCATACAATTCATTATCGTAGAGTTAACCCTTGACTATCGCTATATAAATACTGTATATCTATCATATGTATTGTATGAGGAAAATACTTAAAGTACATAAAACTTAATGAGAGATTTTATATTGTACTATATATATGGCTTTAATAGAGATTATATTGAGATCGAGAGTCATACATAGTGATAGTATTGATGATAATAGTGCTATCATTGACTAACTGGGATATATAATATATATATAGATTTTGGGTTTCATTTTGAATACAGCGATAAATATATCAATCAAATCATCCACACGTTTGTGGGTTTGTTTTGCATCCATTCATATCATAAATTTATTATTATGCAGATGTTTGCCAATGACAACCTAGTCCTCCAGCATAACGGTGCAGTTTTGACTAAAAGTTATCGTTAATGATAGATATAATATTTGTGGGTTTTTATGAATCACATACAGGCGTTAACCGTTTGAAACAGTGCACCACTTGACGACAAATATGATTATTTCGTATTCAGCTATAAATACAGTGATATATATATATATAACTTACACGATATTATTGTATAGTTTATCATCAAATTCATTAAATGTCATTCAAAGAGAGGGGCAATAAAAACCTCAAAATGTGTTAGTGATGGACATCAATGTCCACATATAACACACATAAGTCATTGTTGTATTGTATTGTATTGACTCTATTCATAGGAAATACACAGAACGGGTAAACAAACGTATGGGAAGTTGGGGTTAGTAATGATGTCCACTATTAGAGAGTAAGTGAATCAGTTGGAAGAGAGAGAGAGAGAGAGAGAGAGAGAGAGAGAGAGAGAGAGAGAGAGAGAGAGAGAGAGCTAAGACCACCAAATAATTGAAATGTTATAATTGATATATTAACCATGATCATTTTTACATATTTGGGTATAGGGGTTGGTATGACTCACGATTGTGCCATTAAATATGATATCATTGATAATGATCTAAAAAAAACAAGAATAGGTCACTTATTTTATACACAGTATATATTAAATTAAAACAATATAATTGATTAATAATTGAAAATTAGATATTAAAAAGATTATTGAAAAATTATAAATACTATTATTTATTAAGTTTTTACCATAATGTATTATAACGTATACTGTACAATGTACATAGCTATGTATTTAAAATCTAAATGTTGACAAATATACACTATATTTTGCATGTACTATATTGTACACTGAATTAGGTTATTTCGAGTTTGAATTTTTTAAAAATATTATACATTAATATTTTATAATAACAATATTTATACAGTAGTAAAAAATATTAGATAAAAAACGACTACTAAGTGTTTTATTTGATAATAAACAATACAATATGTCTTATAATATACAATTTTGTATGTTTTATAATAGGTGTGATAAATAAATAGCAAACATATTATAATAAAAATCAATATTAATTTTATTTCACATTAAGACAAAAATAATAATAAAACTTTATTATTATAAATAATAATAATTTTTTATTTTGATATTTTGACACAAATTAAAGTACAGAAATATTAAATAATGAAAGGTTAGTAAAATCATTTGGTAATTTCATTTTATTTTTTCATTTTCATATATATATATATATATATATATATATATATATATATATATATATTAATGTCTAACGAATAAAAAATTGTTATTAAATACATATTAGTCTTTATTTGTCATTATTAGAGTTGCAAAATATTTGCATCAAAAACACAAATCAGTAAAACTTAATGCAATAATAATAACACGATTTGTAGTATTTATGCAAATCAAAGGTACATTTCGAGCTCCGGTATTGTTCAGGTATTATTTAGTATACCAATGCATACATTAATATCATTAAATTTATACAACCAAATTATTTCCCATTAGAGAGAGAGAGAGAGAGAGAGAGAGAGAGAGAGAGAGAGAGAGAGTTTTGCACGTTTTTTTGAGATGATATTTAATTAAAATTGTATTGCAATTGAAATAAATCTAACAGTATTTGAATATATATTATATATATTAGACATTAACTATAATTTTTACATTTTTTTTGTATAACCACTAGAGAAATGAGAACCACTACGCTATCAAACTTGTATAAAATCTATATGTCTAGTGATGTTCGATTGCAAAATGCGAAATTTCATTGAGAAATTGTAATTGTAACATAGCGCCATCTATAATTTTTTAAAAATTAACAAGGTTAAAATGGTAAAACAATATTTATTACAACATAAATTATTTATAAATTAAAAAAAATTATTTTAACAATAAATGTTACCATCTAAAAAATAAGTAAAAAGTATTAATCTATAATAAAACAATTTTTAGTATTCTTAAAGTTAATTTTTTATGTAATCCCTGATGCGCCCAATTTCACGCAATTTTCCGCAATTGCGGCAAACAAATACTGAATTGGAAAAATTGCAAACACTAACAAAACTAACAAAACTAACAACACTAACAACACTAACAAAACTAACAACACTATATACTGTATGTCCCATAACAACACCCAAAAGGTTTTTGT